CAATATTTCTATCGATTAATTGTTTTTTTCTTGTTAATTTCGCAACTTACATAATAGCTATTCTTTTTTGTAATCTATCTATTCTAGAGATTTCTGAGAATATGTAGAATGTCATTGTTTATAAAAAATAAGTTAATAAATTACAATTTTACATAGTTCTTTTGGAAACTGATCGATGTACGAATACTTTCTATATCCACTGTATGTTCTTTAGATATTTTTCTATTATGCATAAAATTTACGATCGAATCTCGGCATCAATTATTGTGTAGTACGTAATTGAGTGTGTTGAAAACGCATTTTCCCATAAGAGCCCACGCTAAAAAGTGAAAAATTGAAAAATTTATTTCTTTGCTTTTAGGTACTGTAGCCTTCCCAACATTTGTGTGGGTGTTTTTGGGATAAAATCTAACCCGTAAACAAATTTTTATAATTTTCTTGGCGTTATTTCTATTTGCACTAGAGCCTCCTTAATATAACAAACTTCTAAGACCACACCCTAATCTTTATTACACTGTATCTGTACAGATCTTACACATGAGTTAGGTTTCAATCCGATTGACATTACATGCACCGTAACATTTTGTTTATTGTTATTATTCCACAATTATTATAACTAGTTATTATGCTTGTAATCTGGTAGAATAATAATAATAATAATAATAAGGAGAATGTTATAGCTTTCTGGATTTCATTTTATATGTAATTTTACCGACGTTACTAAATATTTTATTACCTTAATGAAATAATGCATAAACACCTGTTTTTTTATTATTGCAAGTATGAAGTCTTACAAATTGTAGTCGATTTGAATTCAAAAGAGACAAAAGGGTCCATATAAGACTGACAGCATAAATAATCTTAAATATCTTTCGAAAATTAATACATCTAGCGTCTGTAATGTTATCTGTAATTTTAAGTTGCACACAGTTAGAATGAATCCTCTTACTGTGTACGTTAAAAAGCGCGCAATGCGTCGTGACGCTGGATGAGAGATCCCCCGATAGCTTGATAATGTTAAAAATATAATATAATAATGCACAGATCGATAACTTTGATGTAAGATAAAACATATATGTAAGAAGTTTACTTTTTTCGATATTGAAGACAATCAGTCTGTTTGTAAAAAAACTGTTGAATTTCAGTACCTACCTAACCTGGAGGAAGATTAAATACTACGCTTGCGCATAATTCTCCTGGTTACATGACTGCGAGCGGGAATATTTGAAGCTAATATTAGATAAATCAAATTTAATTATACTTGTATTTTTATTTGCTATAAAATGTAAACATGTTACACGTTACTGTAGTAAGCCCTTGAGTTTGTTTTAGTCTTATATCACTTTTCTTCAAATCATACATTAATTTTATATGTATTTCATGAATAATCTAACTATCATCAGAGAAAGTGTAATTTTCATGTATTAATGGCAACAATTTGGTCATAAAAGCAGCCTCTACTTGATGTGAATTCTCCACTTTTAACGTGGTGAAACAGGTTTCCTTGAAGTCGATGTTTAAACTGTGTTTAATTACATTTGTTAATGCAGTGGCAAGAATTACACACGATTTGTAATCATTATCCAGTGGTATATGATTATTGTACACAACTTTTTCATTAGAATGATACGTAAACTTCGTATAGGGATTTAATCGTTGAAGTATAATTATTTCATTCAGTATCATTTTTGTGAACTCTTCCAAGTCACGCAAGATTAGTTCCTGCTGTAAGATATATAAATACATATATAAATAGAAATACATGTAAATAATTATCTATCAATTATCCAATCTGACATAAACTGTTTTTATGCTATAAATAACTAAGTGAAGATTAGTATCTTGTATATACCTTCAACTGGAAAGATAAATACTTCTTTTGATGCGAAAAATCGATATTACTCTTATCTCTTATGTTTGTATCCAACGATAGGCGTTTCCGTACAAAACGTAATCCAACTATGTTCTGAATAGTACTGTATTCAGTCCTCGAGTATAGTGTGGCAATTAGTGAGTTATTTAAAAAAATACCCATAGAAATGAAATCGTTAAATATTTCCCTCGAGAAGTGTAAAATATCATTTGTGAATTGTCCATAATTCGTAATTTGTATCGTATAATTCATCATCCCTTTGTTTAATAACGTAACGTCTACGTGATTGTAACACGTCTTTCCGATCGCATGTTTCGTGAACCATTTTTCAAAATTCTGCAATATCTATCGAATATATGATCAATGACTATTGCATTCAGTACATGCTCCACGACGATACAATATTTAATATTAAAATATAAAAATCAATGCCATCTATAAATTACTCTTGCTGCAATTCTTGACTCTATAGATTATTTTCGATAACATTACATTATCATACAGAACCATACTTTTTTAACGATGTCTGCAATTAAATTCGTATCGAATACGGTCACATCCATGACGTAGGGAGATTTGTTTGAAACTACCGGTACCTGTGAGACCCTGACCTCTAGGCACGGTGAGTGTTACTGAAAGGTTCTTCCCTATCGATAAAGAACCTTCGCCGCGCAGGCCACAGCGAAACTCGAAGGTAGTGTTGTGTGTCGGTATACGAATTCTTCATGTTGCGCCATGGTGCAACTGTCTGAACAGAAGTAAAAAAATCCATGTATAGAAGGTGACAATAAGTTTTTACGGTGTGATCGACTACGTTCGATCATTTACAAACAATAATCGGGCATAAACAGTGCCGCGTGATATTTTTTCTCGTGGAATTGTGAGCAAAAACATATCGAATGTCAGAACAAGAACAGAAAGACGAACCTAACCTCAGTGAGGAGCGTGGCACTCCACCGCGGAGGATTCGTCACCGGTAAGTTTCAACGATATTTTCTTTCGAAAGCTGGCTTTGTTTTTCTTTTCCCTATCAGCACTCATTACGTATCAAAACGTAACGCGAGAAATGTTGTCCACTTATGATTGTATTAGAGTTGCGTTCAGTATACATCGGTTGGTAACGCGTGCTCCTTGGATACACCGCACGCTTTACATGGACCAATCAAATCGCGTTATACGTCGCCTGACTCGCTAATCAACCAATCAGGGCTCTCTGTCAATTTTTTGATTACCTCGTGTGAAAATCCATTCAGTTACAGCCGCTAGATATATGCAAATAATTTAATTCATGACAACATAAATATTACGTTTATAGGTTATAATGTGATATAACCTCTTGATGAAACGAGGAACTACTATGAAACCAGATGAACAGGAATACGTACATGTGCCTCTTTGAATGTATAATAATAATTACGATATTTGAAATAATCAAAGGAAATGTATACATATATGCATAACAGGTTCGGGATTCATTAAAGGCAAAGTAAATTTGTAAATTAACTTTTTGTAACAATGTATATCGACTTACTAACGTGTAATTAGCTTTTATTCATAATTGCTTTATACTGCGATAGCTTCGAGCATTGTATCCGTGACGTTAATCTCGATTAGCGAATACATAATATTATTGCGTATTGCATTTCTTTCATGAAGTAACGGATACATCTCTTTTGAAATCATTTTATTCGTTCTGCGTTGCTTTATGTTCTTTTCATAAATAACACACTAATGGGTAATTATGTATGCTTTCATTCTCATTTACACGTTCCTCGCTTGACGATGTTAGTAGCAGATTCACGATTAATAAACATACTCGATGCACATGTTCTTATCGTATTATCGAGCACATTCATATCTGCTTATTTGTATTGAGATGCAAAGAAACTTGTATTGCGAACGTCAACGGGCGAGGATATGTATCATACTATCACGCGTTGTCACTAATGGTAATACGTGTGACGTCAATTATGCAATAAACGATATTGCTCTTGTTAGTGATCGTGTACAAGAATTATGCGATTTTATGGAATTCTAATGTCACGTGATAGATAAACTCGTTACTTTTCTTTATTTTATTCAATAGTCTTCTAAGAGAAATAATGGATAATTCTAATAGAAATTAGGGCTAAAAATTTGTGCAATAATCAAGGTTCCTACCATAAGCAAGCAATACATAGCAAATCACCATTGCATTGCTACTCCTAACTTTACTTATCGCTTAGCAACTATCCCTTCTACTTGTGAACACCATGCAATCATCACAGCCGTCGTGCAATAATCGAGACTTCACTGTATAATTATACTCATCGCTAATCACACCAAATTATTGACTTAAGGAGGCTCTAGCGCATAGAGAAATAACGCCAAGAAAGTTATAAAAATTTGTATACAAGTTAGATTTTATCCCAAAAACACCCACACGAATTTCGGGAAGGCTAGGATACCTAAAAGCAAAGAAATAAATGTTTCAGTTTTTCACTTTTTAACTCTTATGGGTAAATGCGTTTTCAACACACTCAATTACGCACTACAAAGTATTAGGTTGTCCCGAAACTTTCTTTCGCGAGTTACACTCAATTATTTTATGTGATCGTGTTTATATAAATAGACAATCTAATTTCATAGATATTTATGTTGTAACAGTAACGGAGCAAAATGAATCCTGCACAATTCAGTAATGTAACATAAAACATAAACTATTATGCATGTATTACTTATTAATAAAGCGAAAGAAACTTTTGGGACAACCTAATAATGACGCCGAGATTGAATCGAAAATTTTATGCATAATAAAAAAATATCTAAAGAACATATATTGATTTACAAAATACTCCGAGGGTACTTGTAGTATTAATAATAAATTAAAGAATTCTTGGATAATGCGTTTTGTCTTCTGCTACTGACATAGTATGAGAGATCTGACACGCTGTACGAGAGGTTAGAAAACGCGCGTTCAAATACAAACAGTACTGTAGTTTGTCTGAAAATAATTGATTTCTATTACTTTATGGTACAATATAAATATAATAGATATAATAACGACTGAAAATCAATGTTTAACATAATTTTTTTTTATTTTGATATAAAATTGCGAACCATTGTAATATTTTAAATACTATGCCAGATCTACTACTACGTGAATCAAGCGACAATAGTAACTCTACATTGACTTACAGCGTAACTGTAGAGCCTCCTTAAATGACGTACAAATGACACTTTGACCTTAGTTTTTTTTTTTCGAATTTGACAAGTCTTCTGGTCTCAAATGATTAGTACTGTAGGAACAGATACGGGCATTTACAGTCACACGCCATCAAATCACTTTTCAGCACGCATTACCAGTCTTATCGATCCCAAATCTTGCTGTAGGTGCGATAATCAAATATATTCGATAATCTTCTGTACTGAACATTATGTATCGATTTTTAGAAGCGATCTAAGACTATCTGAAAAGTGTATATCACCAGCGGAAAGCAAATTAGAAAAGAATATTTTCTAAACTTGTTCACCAATAGTGATTTAATTATTAATTCTATTTATTAATACTACTTTACTGTTCATTTCGTGTGATGTATTTTCTGCAACTGGAAATTCGTAAATAATAAAATAAAGGAGCCTGGAAATATTTAATGACATTTTTTAATTAAATATTTACCTACTTTAATTTTTAACGATCAAATTTCTTGTCACATAATAATCTACGACTATGAAAGATAAAATGCAAGATTCGCAACGTAGGAATCTCGAATTGTTTTCGCTATTCTTATCTTGCTTATAAAAACACGCACCTTTGCATGAACACTTGAGATTAAAAAAAAAAGTCTCGAGTACGAGACATTATGTCAAACGAAAAATTATTCATGTAGCAAAATTAAAATATTGAGTATGTCTGCAGTCGACAATTATCACGGTATTTTTCATCAGATACGCAATTTCATTACCGATACCCTAAGAGCGTCCACTACCACGCTTTGATTCGCAGCTCAATATCGTATGATTCTTTGAAAAGTCATGAACTGAGCACGCGGCATTCGCAATCGAGGGAGAAATAGTCAGTTTCATCGTTACTGTGATTATCAGAAGCATTTAGTCTCGACAGATAACCGAGGAACTGTTTCTAATCGACAGATACCAATAATTGTTTACGTTAACCCTACTGTACGCAATTTTTCAAATCAGAGCAAACGCAAGTAACATTCTACTGCAAAAATTCTTATGGAAACTGTCAGATTTTGCGCAAAAATAATTATATTCAATGGTGCTGTGACCTTTTTATAACGTAGATGTCTTATTTCTGTTAGAAACAGCGCATCAGTTGTTGTTTATGCTGTTGTGTAATAAAATATCACAAAAAGTGCGGTTGATGCATATATGTGAATAGCATGAATGTTTCTTCTGGATAATTGTTTATTTTTAGAAAACGTTATTTCGTTTATTTACTTTTTTATGTTTCATTGAGTGCTTGTTAACCGATAAAATATTAATGTCAAGGATAGGATTAACGAATATAAGGATTCCTTAGGACGGATCGAATTCGTTCATCGCGCAGTTGCTATGCATTCGCACTTTCGGACACGGGAAGATGTTTTGCACGTTGGTGCATACACGCTGTAATGCAATAATGTTACACGTATTATGCAACGTTACACATACCATTAGAGTCCGTCGGGTGTATACAGCATGCGTGCGTACTCTTATACGCATAGACGTCATCACAGCGTGCGAATAACTATACTTGCGTCCTTCCTCGTCGTGATAATGTCTACGAGTCTACATTGGACCGCCGACGGGCAAAAAGAGACGAATATAATGATTTCACTTCGTTAATAAACCAACGCAGTATTTAACCTTGCAAACAACATCGTGGCTGAAAAGGGATGTTCCGACAATTGATACACGCCGAAAACTTTGAATTTTTGCAGAAATGAAGTTCACGAGAACCTAGTCGTCGTACCTTTTTTCCATTTTGGACTGAAAATGATATAAAGGGTGGAAGTATCCTGCGAAATGATTCCAAGTATCTTTTTGCTAATATCTTTGAATTCATAAGAAATATTGAAAAAATAATAGTTTTTAATATTTAGTAGTAGTTTTAATCGTTTTAATAATTCTTAATATTCTATAACGCCGTAATAAGAAATGAAAAAAAATTTATTTTTAATAATATTTCCCCTATCGTACATCTTTCTACCACACGGTGTATAAAAATTATGTTTGCAATCTTATCAACGTTTTCATACTGTACAACTTTTATGTAACCGATTTTGTTCTATTTGTTATCAGATTCGAGCTACTATGCAATATACAATACATGTGTATTCTGTACCGTGCACCGGATCGGCCAGAATTCAGGATTAAACTTTGAAAAAATCATAACTCTTGATTGAGTAAACGGATTTCAAATCATTAAAACGAGAATCTACGTGTTTATAGGTGAAGAATTTTTTTTAAATATCAAAATGATGAAAGAGTCTATTTTTATATTCTTTTCATAGTTTCTTAATAATTAACATTTTGGATTGAAACTTTTTTTCGTTATAGATCTCATGGAACTCTAGAAGCACACACAGAAAGTTTTTTTCTATCGTAAACACCCAATTTTTTACAAATGAGAGAATGATTTTATTAAGAATTCACAAGGGGCCTCGTTAATTTTAGTCCAAATCAAAAATTGTCTATAAAATTTTTTTTTCACTTGCCCGCTCAAAATGAAGCACATTTTGTTAAATAACATACAGCTGTAATTTATATTATATATGAAAAAAGAATTTCTAAAGAAAAGAAGAAGTATGGTTTGGAAAAAAGAGATTCTCGAAAAATATTAATTTCTCAAAAAATATGTTTGATAACAATTTGATGTCCTATCGAGATGTACAACTTTTATATTAAAAATTTTGTAATATCTTTTATAGTTTCAGAGATGTTAGCGGAAAGCATAAATATCTAGAATTATTTCAAAGGGGTGTCCATTCTTAAATTTTATAACCAAAATAGAAAAGACCACTGTGATTAGATTTCCATAAAATTGTTTTTGCAAGAATTCAACTTTTTCAAAGTGTATCAATTAATATTGTAGAGAAATTGTATATCATTCGATTACATCAAACAAACACTGTAAGAATTGATTTAATTGTTTATAACATTTATTATGACACTGTTTATAAAATAACGTTGGAAATACTTTTTAAGGAAAATGCATTGTCAATGAAAAACCATTAATGAATTGCAATGTTAACAAAGGAAATGAAACTATGTTTAGCGATAATATTGCAACGTATAATATCAGTGCTTTTTCCTTTAACGATGTATATTTATTCTAATTAATTATAAAGTGTTTTTACACTTGAAGAGAAGCATGGCAGAAAAATTCGAGGTCTTATCTGGGGATACCAAAAAAAAAGAATAAATGTTGTATAATTAAAAAATTGCTTGAGAATAATATAAAGTCGAAAGAAATGAAAAGAATAGAAAGCTCAGAATCATCAATTTACAAGCACAGTTCAGAATGAATCGTAATTTTAATTTCTTATAACTAATATGTATTAATATCAGCAAAAATATAATCGATCAGAAAAACAACTTTGTTTTGTTCGTTTTGCCTTGTGGTTACGTCATATATTAAATTATCTGTAAGAACAATTTCCTTTGATCTTCAGAGCAATACAATATGTGATATAACGATATTACATACTAGTACGTACAAAATTGTAAAACTATTTCTCGCTTTATCCATAAAAATATGTTATTTATGTTCTTATTTTTAGTTTATTGAAAAACTGCTTCTCATTTCAAGGAACCATTCTGAAATTTAAAGGGAACCTAAACAATAAATATAAAAAACGTTTAGAATTTTCCAACAAATAAACATTACAAAGGTAAATTCTAATTAAGCTGTACCCGTAGGACACGCAAAATGGACGGTTCCAACGAGTGGGCTCGAAAAATGAACAAGTTTATTAGTTCATTGACTTTTCCATACAAAATTGAACTTCCTGAAGATTCATTAAAATCATTCCCGGTCACTTTTACAAATAACGAACATCCAACAGAACAACACTAAAAAAAGAAGCACAAACCTAATATCACTATTCATGATCCGATTTATCATTTAATCAAATTTAAAATTCATTGGGTCGTTTTGACGCAATCAGGTTAACAAACACACACACTTACACCACGGTCGTGGAGACCTGCAGCTTAAAATCTTCCTCCATTAAGATATCATTCGATAAACACGTTTGCTCGCATATTTGCGTACAAATAATTTTATTCGAAAGCGGATATGTTCGTGGTATAAGGGCTAGCTCGATTGCTCCATCACATCCTTCCTGGGCGCCACTTGGTAGTTACCGGCGAAAGGGGCCAACGAATCGCAAATAGGAAGGCGAACGCTTGCGTCACAATGATGAATACAAAATAAAACTGTATCGAGTGTCGATCAAGGTAAGGGGAAAGCGATAAACTTGGATGGTAATGATATAATATCACAGCATGGAAGAGGAACCCGCGACAGTCGTCGCGTATCGACGTTTGGTCACGCACGAAATCGTCGTCGATCGACGGTATCGGTGTATTCACCGTGGGACGCGAAAAAGGTTCAGTGGAAACGGGACACGTAGATAGTTGTGTCGTCGGTGTGCGACGACCTCTGAACCCCGGCGTCCGGTATTTTTTTTCCCGTATCGTTCGCGTGTACTTGATCGTGCTCGAACATCGATTTCCTCTCCTATATGCGTGATACCCTGTGAAGTCAACTGCGGCCCAGTGCGTCGTCGCATCTCCTTTCGGTGTTACTCAACGTGAAACGTTTGCCTGGAAGCGTGACAATGACGAAGACCCGTCGTTCCAGCGTCTAAACGGCCCGTGATCCGAAAACAGACCGACGAGCAGACACGGAACGAACGCTCGTACGCGACCGAGCTCTTCAAGGAGAATTCGTAACAGTAAACAAACTGATTCAGTGACGAGACGAGGTTTCGAGAGGATAGAATACATATGTTACGCGTGAACGTTTCGAAAGCTAGAATAGAAGAGGAGGATCGTGGAAAGGGGTAGAGAAGAAAGCTTGCGAGATCGAGGAACGGGAGAGATCGGGGATCGAATCTGGTAGGCGAGATTTTTTCGACGCCCGGTGCGCTAACTTCCTGAGTCTAGGGACCTTACGGTCTCTACATGAATCATTTGGGACGCTATAACGTTCAGTCAATGGATGACGACTGTTACTCGAACCTTGACGATGTCCTTGATGGTAGTCCTTGGTTTCGTGGCGAAAAATCGGAGCGTTGAGTGGAAAGAATTCTGTTCCGAGTAAAGAATCGATCACGTGTGGATCGTTCAAAGAGGAGAGTGAACGTGATACGTTTGGAAGTGAGTGCGACAGTGCGGCTCGTATCGCGGCCGCTCGGCCGCCGAACTTCGAAGCGATGCCGCGCGCGCTTCCGTGTGACAGTCATTATAGTCTAAAAGCTAGCTACCAAAATTAGAAACGATGAGGTGCAGTGACAATTTGTATCTAAAAACACACTTTACTAGATGACAAGCCCATAGCGCTCCAGCCAGAAGTCGTTCCCGGGGCTGGAAGCGTGCGCGGGCGATCAAACCCGTTAATTTTTAATCAAAATAAAATCTTTGAGTGCAGCCCTGAAATTTTGTGTAGTTATAGTTTTTAACTGTGGAAATCGCGTAAAACCCGAAGTCTAGGTTGGGGCTTAAACGTTGCCAGAAGTCGATAAAGTTGTACAAAAATTGTTTAAATTTTAATGGAAAGCTGCAGTTTTGGCGAATACGTTTTCATATTATTTATATCGTAGGGAAATGATAAAAATAGAGATTTGATCAAATCCCTAAGGTAGATGATCAGTTCACGGGAGATGTTAAAATAACAACTCTGTGAGGTCATTTGCCTAAATAAAGTAAGTGATTTAATCAAATCCCTTGACTGTTTTAGTGAAAAGATGGAATAACATTGTTTAGATATTAAAAGTATTAATTTAGTAAATCATGCGTTCTTAAGTGTAGAGTAGGTAATACAACAATAGTCGTAGAAACATAAATTATTTATTCGAAACTAATTAGCAAAAGAAATAGGTACTTAAAAAAGTAACGTACTTTGTAACTCGGGATGCCACAAATCGACACCGTGTTTTAATAAAAATGAATGAACATTATTATTTATTAATTACATTCTCTAAAAATATTCTTTTTGTTTTTTAAAATATTAGCTTAAGTACCTATTACTTTTACTAATTAGTCTCGAATAAATAATTTATGTTTCTATAAATATTGTTGTATTACCTATTCTACTTTTAATAACGCATGATTTACTAAATAAATACTTTCAATATCTAAACAATATTATTTCATCTTTACACTAAAACAGTTAAGGGATTTGATCAAATCATACTATTTCATCTTTTCGCTAAAACAGTTAAGGGATTTGATCAAATCACTTACTTTCTTTAGGGAAATGACCTCACAGAGTTGTTATTTTAACATTTCCCGTGAATTGATCATCTACCTTAGGGATTTGATGAAATCTCTATTTTTATCATTGCCCTGCGACATTTATTCCTTAAAAAACCTAGATAACAATTGCCAGAAGACAGAATGGTGGTTAAGTATGTGAAAAATGATAATATCGTTATTAGTTGGTAAACCGGAAAGCAATTCTTTAAAATTTAAATTTTAGATACAAATTTTCACTGCACCTTATCATTTCTGATTTTGGTAGCCAGTTCTCCGTCTATTAAGGCAAATTAAAAACTTGTTGGTTAACGATTTGTTGATCGATCAGGTGAGGGTATGGGTTAAGTGCCGACTAGTGTCCAGGGTATGCACTATATGTATTTAGGATGGAGCATTTAAATGGAAACACTTGAATAACTCCGTTCTTCATGGTTCTGTGAAAAAAATCTATGGAACAAAGTTGCATTGTTTGAAGAGGCGCGCGTAATGGTGGGACTACTTTTTCTCAAGGTCATTTTTCAAAATAAATTTCAAGGTCATTGACGTTTTTGTTTTTATATGGGTTGGAGTATTTTTATTACTGCAATCATATACAGAGTGTTTAGGTTATTACTAGTCAGCGTTTTTCTCGTAAATGATACATATGACAAAAAACTGAAAAAGGAAAAAGTGATACTGTTTTTTATATGCAATGTTACCAAGTAGATAAATCTTTCGTATATATACTATTTTCTGAGAAATGAAAGTGACCTTCAGTTTTTTAAATGAATGGTATATTTTTTGTTCAAAAATATAATAGAGTATCGAATTCTAAATAAAAAAGTATTGACCTTTATTAGCCCTAAACCTAATAGGTAATGAGTAATTTCACTTTGTTATTTGAAAATGTTCTTAATACAATATCAAGATGGAGATTCAAACAAGTGTACTACGAATTCTTTGTCAAGAAAAACATCATCTTTGTCACCTAGCACTTCATCAGGAGCTCCATGGCTGTACACATCGCTGTCCTGTGGAAATCTGAGATAAGATTGCATCTCCATCTTGATATTGCGTTAAGAAAATTTTCAAGTAACAAAGTGAAATTACTCATTACCTATTAGGTTTAGGGCTAATAAAGGTCAATACTTTTTTATTTAGAATTCGATACTCTAACCTAATTTTAACAAAAAATATACCATTCCATTTAAAAAACTGAAGGTCACCTTCATTTCTCAGAAAATACTATAAATACGAAAGATTTATCTACTTGGTTACATTGCATATAAAAAAACAGTATCACTTTTTCCTTTTTCAGTTTTTTGTCATATGTACCATTCACGAGAAAAACGCTGGCTAGTAATAGCCTGAACACCCTGTATAATATATTGATCTTCAGAAAGTCTTGTGAGAAGTTATTTTTATAAAATCAGTGAATTTGTACTTCAAATATCGCCGTTAAGTCATCTCAAGGTTAACGTATTATGCATCTTCGAATTTGTCTTTTCATCACCTGTAATGATATAATAATGAAAATACCATTAATAATCTTGAAATTTCGGAAAATATGACCTTGAGCTCATTCTCTTTATCTATCGTAGTATTTCTCCCTCCAAATCATACATTCTTCTCTTGAGACATATCTTTATATCCATATGTGTATACATGTGTATGTGTGTTTCGGAATTTTTTTTACAGAGAAGAATGTATGTAAAGTTTGTTTAACTTTGAGAATATTTTAGATTTTTTTCCGAAGTACATTTAGTAATTTTTTCAATTCATTTTATACAGAAATTTTTGAGATATCAATTGTTCCCTGATTAAATTCAATTTTCATAATTTGATGTATAGGTTTTCGGAATATACTATAAAACATACTTCAATGATATCTTAATTTTTTAGTTCATATTCAAGACATTTAAGTAAAGTAAATAGTGTATAAAGTTTGAAAACGATCGGCTAAAAGGTACTTAAAATATCCTCAAAGTTACCAAATTATTAAACAAATTTTTCTCTGTCAAAAAAGACCACAAAACACTCAATGTTTGGCCTCCTAACTTAGTCTCGTTCCTTAAGGGGTTAGTCGCAGTCAGGAAAATGAAAACGGACACTTTCTTGTGTGTTTTTTTTTAAGGTATTAACCCTTTGCGCGCGAGTGGCGCCTCTAGGGCGACATATGTAATTTAAAAGTGATTTTTAATTGAATTTTAATTGAAAGAATAATACATTGAGTCACGAATGTTCATAGATATTTCTTTTCGAAGTAGAGTTTTTGGTTTTACAGAAATTTATTACAAAAATGGACTGGACAT